CTTCCAAATTTCTCGTTTATTTTTAAGCAATTTAATGGAAAATGGTTTCAAAGTAAATCCTACACCAAATTTTGTTCGGTGTAGGAAGTCTCACCCCTGCGACGGCTTGTATTAATGGACTCTTGCTTTCATCCTCCTCACTGACGGAGTTGACATCTGCACCGTGCGCGAGCGCCTCTGCCATGACCGATAGGTTCCTAGCCCGTGACGCCTTATGAAGCAGCGTCTTTGGGTCAAGCTCCCTGCCGTCCTCTGGATCCGACGCTTCCTGCTCGATATCAACCTCCCCACTGGACTCATCCGAGTCCTCACGCTCTGCAATAAAACATGGGAGATGAAGAAGGGGACAAACACGCAACAGATAGACGTACCAATGTAGGACGTCTTCTCACCTTCCTCAGTGACGCTGTCCACCACTGAGCCGAAAACGAGTATGTCTGTGCTGCCGTCAGTACTGCCGCCAAGCCCGCTATCACTGCTGAGACCTGCAGGGCCAATGGGTGCCAAGCGAGGGACACGTTACTCATGACCTTCTCAAACATTCAGTGCTTGACCTCTCACACAATGCATTATAAAATTTGTCTGCAACAGGCAAACATGCAGACTGAAGTTCCTGTAGCCACTCTCAAAACAACGTCTTTATGAACTAAACAGCAGGAGATATATGGGATGGACTTGTCTCATGGTCTTTAGAAGGTAAAGTCGTATGAGGAACTTACTGCGAGGCCCTGAGCCTGTGTCGAAGTAAGAGAAGAGCGAATCAAGTTCGTCGGGACAAAACAAGGATTCTCTCCGAAACTTTGCAGCTGCCGCAGCTGAGGAGGACAAATAAAGAAGAACATCATGCCAACTTTTCACTTTGCCTAACCCTCATAATGCATTCAAAATCTGTATTTTCTCATTCCATATTTTATAAAACAGTCATAACATATAATATTTTTCAACTAAAACCATATTGTATCTGATCATTAATGAGTGAGAATTTTTTTTAATGTTATTATTTTTTAGGTTTTACATGTTACTATGTTATTACCATGTTATTGCTGCATTTACTCATTTTTATTATTCAAAATTGAGATATTTTTTTTTTTGAAATTTCAAAAAGCTATGATGCAATATATCTTTGTTTTGATGCAGTTTATCTTAGTTTTGAATATATCATTGTACAAAATTTATAAGACCAAACAATGTGAGAATTACCAGTATTAAAGGGTTAGTTCACCCAAAAATGAAAATTAGCCCATAAATTACTCACCCTCAAGTCATCCTATGAGTATATGACTTTCTTCTTTCAGACGAATTATATTAAAAATTGTCTTTGATCTTTCAAGCTGTTTAATGCCACTCAGCGGGTGTTGCATGCATCAGTCCAAAGTTAAATAAAATGTGCCCATCCATAAAAAAATAAGTGTCTCACACGGCTCCGGGGGGTGAACAAATATGAACGTTTTGAATATGGATATTTTTCTTACAAAAATGCATCGATTCGCTACAGAAGGCCTTTGTTCACCCCCCGGAGCCGTGTGAGACACTTTTTTTTTATGGATGGGTGCATTTTAATTAAATGCTTTTGGACTGATGCATGCAACACCTGCTGAGTGTCATGAAACAGCTTGAAAGATCAAAGACTATTTTTAATATAACTCCGACTGGATTCGTCTGAAAGAAGAAACTCATATACACCTAGGATGCATTACAATGAATGGCATTTAATTAAATTCCTTTGAATTTATAACTCATGATTGCTCAAAAACATTCAGACATGAAAACATATTCATAACAAAACAACATCAAAACAACATGAATATTACTCATTCATTTTTTTTCATACAAAAAAAAGTAATTTTACTTTAATTAAACATTCAGATTACAAAAGTGATAAAATTTTTCATGCTGCAATGGCTCATCAATAGGCGTACATATGTTTTTTTTTTTTTATTCAGTCCAAAATGTGTGTGAGATATGGGGAAAGGCTAAATATATTTTACAAAAAGTATTTTTGGCACTAATGGTACTCCATATATACCTGGTCCCAAATGACGCTTATATCTCGTAAAAAAAAGAAAAAAGAATGATGCATATTTTGAGGGTCTTAAAGTAATTAAACATTCAGATTACAAAAGTGATAAAATTTTTCATGCTGCAATGGCTCATCAATAGGCGTACATATGTTTTTTTTTTTTTATTCAGTCCAAAATGTGTGTGAGATATGGGGAAAGGCTAAATATATTTTACAAAAAGTATTTTTGGCACTAATGGTACTCCATATATACCTGGTCCCAAATGACGCTTATATCTCGTAAAAAAAAGAAAAAAGAATGATGCATATTTTGAGGGTCTTAAAGAATTTGGAAAGTTTTGTTCCCTTACTAAAAATGGGTTATTTTACTTTTTTTTATATTTTTTTTATATATCTCTTACAGGTCAAAACGAACCCGAATGAGGGCTAACTCAGAAAACAGTAGAAGAAATATGTTCAGAAATGACAAAAGCAAGTACCAGCAGAGAGATTGGCTGGCGACATGATCCTGGCATCGTGCCTGTATTTCCGGCGGGTTTTAGGGGCTCTGATGGAGCTGTTGTGTCTCCTGCACTTCTTCACGTTCCAGTGGTGAGATTTTCTGCTCCCCTCCACCAGGGCCTCGGAGCCACACATCTTCTTCAGAAACTTCCTCTCCACATATTTCGCTTTGATCCACGCTTCTTTCTCCTGCCTACATAAAACATCAGAAGCACAAACGAGAGCTTCCATCATTGAAACATTCACCATATGAAAATATAATGACATCAAAAAGAAAAAAATATTATCTTAGTCATAGATTCTGGCAACTGATATAATGCAATGGCGGAGAGTTGGCTGCACACTGACCTTGAGCTGTTGGGACCAGGTTTCTTAAGTCCCTGCTCCTCACACGCACCTTCATAAATCTGGTTGATTACAGTGTTGCCAAGCTCACACATTAACTACAGAGAAAACAGTAAAAAAGCATTATTTGACTGATAAAAGTAAAAAATAGAATAACATAACATAACCAAGTTTTAATAGCGACTAAATTAATTCTGTACTGGGATTTGGGTGAATAAATAATTATTATACGAAATTATTATAATATAACAATATATTGTTTTATATAATAATAATAATAATATAATTATATAATAGAATGACATTTGCATAAAGGAAAGGACATCTGTTTTCATAGAATTCCCTCAAAATTCCCATTACTGTAATGCATCCTGATGTTTTTTCAAGTTGTCTTACCCATTATTATTACAGTATAACTAATATATAGAGTTAAAATTTAAGAATTCAAAATAAAAAAAAATTATTACAAAATAAAATAAAAATCTAAAATTGCAATACAATGTTTTTTTATTTAAATCAGCAAAAATAAATACTATAATGATGTATGAATATCTTATTTTTTGCATTATAGTACTGAGAACAACATTTCACATTACGGTAATGAGCATTTAGTGGGAAACTTAGGGGATATTATTCATGAATATACTGTCACTTTGCAAACAATCTTAAAGTAGAGACAGACATTATTTACTTCAAGCTAAAAATTTGTTATTTTTCCCAACTTTTCTTTGATAGGGGTGCAATAGGATACCAACATACTTTTAACAGGTTTGTGAGGTGCACCCATTTAGTTCTCAGTGGGATCTTACCTTCATAAGCTCTGGCTCCCATGTGTCGAGTGTTAAAGAGCGAACCTTAGAGCAGTGGACGCCCAAACTCCTGCAGAGACAGAATCTGAAAATAAGCTCTTCAAGCATGGTTGATTTAAGCACACTTTTTATAACGACCTCTATTATATTCTGTGATTAAAAATAAGTCTAGCAATGGCAGGACACATTTGGGTCAGCCTCCTTTAGAAGCCTGTAGAATCACAGAAACCCCATCTGCAGCCCCTGTTGTGTCTGAACACATCAATTCTAATGCCTCTGTGCATTATGAGGCTTCTGTCTTGCGTTCAGTCATGGACGCCCATCTTTGAGGAGGTAGGAGCGATTTAATCTGATTAGCAGGCTGGCACCGGTAATCTGCAGAGGAACTGATGGAGCAGAAAAGTGCTTCACCCTGAGGGTGTGACGCAGTGTGTACATGAGCATCATACGGCTTTCAAGCAAAGCCATTCTGCTGTTGGGTTCAATCTGTCATGAGTGATGCAGTTGGGATAAATGTTCTGACGCAGGTGGCTTTAAAGCCTGTCTATCTTCAGTCAAATCAATATGGAAGCAGACGGGTTCTCAGATGTTTAGAGTCATTATGTCGACTGTAAGATGTCTGGAGTGTGAACACGTCAAATAACAATGGCTTGTTTTGTAAAGCTTTGTAGTATCCACCTTTTTTAAAAAATAAGGAGGAAAATACTGCAGCAGACTGAAAATAACTCTTCTACAGAAGATTATTCCGTAATCTTTATTATGTTATTCCATGTCACATTAAAAGGATAGTTCACCCAAAAATAAAAATGACCCACCCTCAAGCCATCCTACACTGGTAAACACAGCAGGGCTCTACGCTTACTTTTCTTTTTAGGAGCACTTGTGCTCCTAACTTAAAAAATTTAGGAGCACGTTCAAAATTTTAGGAGCACCTTCTAATCAATAATCCAACATTTTATCAAAAAGTAGCCTTCCCATTACGAGGTGATATTTGACTCCTCCAACTTTATTAAAAGTATGTCATCTTTGGTCAAATTCTTAAAAAAATTATATTTTAAGCTTTTTAAAAATTGTAATTAAAACGACAGAAGAACAAGTAGAATAAGAAATATAAGTTACCAATCAAATGAAATCAGTATTAACAAAATTAATTTGTAGAGGTGGCAAAGAAGAACACAAAAGTGGCTTGGTGGACTTTCAGAAATTTAATGAGGCTCAGAATCACAAATATGATGATGTTCGGGTCAGTCGCACTGGTGCTCCTAAAATTTTTTTCATAGTCGCACGCAGTAGTTTTCAGTCGCAAATGCGACTGGAATGGTCGCACTGTAGAGCCCTGCACAGTGTAATACTCTTTACAGGATTAAAGAGTATTATTTTACAATATTTCATAATCATAACTGTTTGTGGAAGGATCTTTCACAATAGTGAAGCAACTGCTGAGAAACATCTTTGAAAGATGTGACATCAATACTCGACATACAAAACATAGCAATGGTAAAAATCAACAAATAAAAACAACACTTACAACATAAACCAACAACACAAACCAATAAAAAACAAGTTCAATAGCACAAATAAAAACAACAAGAATTTAAAAACTCTACAGCATGCTGGGTGTCTTCATAGTACTTATGCACTGTAGAAACACCGTTTGTTTACAAGAAATTTCTGAGAGTGCAGTTAGATACAAGAGAAGTCCCACTGTGAAATTACTGTGAAAGTAATGCATTTATTAACCTGGAATATACTGTAATTTCACACTAAAATTTTTAACAGTGTAGGTGTAATATTAATTTCTTCTTTCTTTCAGACGAATACAATCGGAGTTATATAAAAAAATGTCCTTGCTTTTCCAAGCTTTATAATGGCAGTGAATTGGGGTTAAGATTTTGAAGGCCAAAAAAGTGCATCCATCCATCATTAAAGTACTCCACACGGCCCCGGGGGGTTAATAAAGGCCTTCTGAAGCGAATCAATGCGTTTGTGTAAGAAAAATATCCATATTTAAAACTATATAAACCGTAATCTCTAGCTTCCTCTAACTGGTACGTGCGTTCACGAGGTAGTGGCGTTCCAGCGGATAACGAAAGATGTGTGTGTAGCGAACGTTTTCATTTTTGGGAGAACTATCCCTTTAAAATACCAGGCATTACGTTATTCTGCTGACGTCTGAAAATAGAACATGAAGGAATATTTACAGCTCATTCAGTGAAACTGATGATCAGGATTATTTGTAGTGCAACCTTATGATTTGAAATGAGTTGTTTCAGTCTTTTTGAGTGGAATTTTCCCAAACCGGAAGTGCCTCCCATAATTTAAAACGCAGCAGGCTCATTATGAAAAGGTGGATAACTTAAATTCTCACTAAAACAAACAGCAGACTCTCACCTGTGAATGCCAGAGCACTCGATGCAGAGCAGAATGCCGAGGTTGATGCTGGCCCAGCGAGGGTCGGCCTGGCCACAGTCGCAGCAGATCTCGTTTCCTGGCAGAGACTGGACCCGCTGTAGGATACTCTCTCCCTTAACAATACGCTCCCGCGGCTCGCTGGCAGAGTCGATACTGCTCGTGGAGGGAGACGCTGTCCTGTCCAAACGCTGTAGAATCAAGAGTTTATGCTCTTAACTTTATTCAAACGGTGTCAAAAGCAATCTATGTAATCGGGTCAATGGAATGACACTAATTTTTGTGCTCAAATTTATTAGTTTATTTAAAAACACATTAAAAATGCCATTCATACATAAAAAGACATGAATGCACCTCTTATATGATGACAATTTATCAAGTGTGTGAATTACTATTCATATATTTTTTTTATATACAAAAAAGTTACTAGTATTAAAAATAAATAAATAAATATAAACACTGTCCTGTCATGTGGTGCGACCAACATACAGTAAAAATAACTCAGAAATCAGGAAATGATATCATGACTGTGTGTAAAAACCAGTAAGCCTCTTAAAATAATTAGTTTTTTTTATTATTGCAGGGTTAGTTCAGATTGTAAAATGTCATGTGGTGTGAATCCCCCCAAAAGTAAAGATATTTATGAACTATTAATGTATTACATTTATGTAAAAAAACAAAAAAAAACAAAAAAAAAAACTTTCTGGAAAACAATTAAGATATGTATTTTAGAGGGGTATAAAGTGCTTCACAGCTTATAAAAAAAAAAGTCCTGTCATGTGGTGCAACCAACAGAGGGAAAAAACAGGAAACGATATCATAGAAAGGACCCCCTGAGATCCTCATGAATGTGTGTCAAGGCCAATAAGCCTCTTAAAATAAAAGTTAGTTTAGCTAGTAAAATGTCAACTTCACATTACATATTGATGTCTAATTCCATGTATTAATGTGACAGAGTAGTTGGACTGACCTCAATATAATAGTTCTCAGAAATCTCCCTGTAGGCAGACGCAATGCTCGCCTGAACTGCTTGAATCCAAGCTTGACGGAGCTTCTCAGATTCAGCCTGCAGCATACAGCTCCTGATAGGGGTTGATCTGATATTAGATACTGTACTTACCCACACAAACACACAGCACGTGACACCGTACTCACTTTGTAGGTGACACCACTTCAAAACAGAACCTTCTCTCGATGTCCTCACATGGTTTCACAGAGCAAAGCCGCAGGTCCTCCACAACCACAGTCAAAGCGTCCTACAACACACAGCAGATTACAACGTCAGGTCACAATAATCATTTGTAAGGAGTAAAAAAATCGACACAAGTTAATATCTGAATCAGCAAAGTTGAACCACCTACTTTTAGTCGCTTCTGATACACTAACTGACTGTTCTGTATTGAAAACCATCGCCTGGTAGGAGAAGAAAACATACTCGATATCAGATTTTCTCCACAAAAGGAAAGACACACGGACAGTCGAGCCTGTTCGTACCTGTTCCATGTCTTGAAAGCATTGCTCGCCCTCTTGAACAGGTATCCCTCCATCACGACACCATTAGGAGCATCAACATTGAATTCCACTTTGGAGTCATCGTATGCAAAATCCTGTCATGCAAAAAACAGAGAAGCTCTATTCACGCAGGTCAGTAGCACACACAATAACAGGACTCTGGTCTCTCGCGCTTATCAGTCAGTACTGAGGACCCTTATTGTTTTGTTAAGTCTTCTGCGAGACAGACAAAAGACAAAACTTAATCCCTATCAGTCAAAACATAATCCTCATGACCACAGCAGCCAAACCAATCCCTCTCATTTCAATCAATAATGACCGGCAGCCTCTTAAAACGTCTCCCGTCACAAGTATTGCTCCATCTATATCCCAACTGTGCCGAGATCTAAAAGCAGAATGATTCATTCTCCTCCAACATCAATGACACTGACATTCCAACGGCTGTTTCGAGTTTTGTGCTCTGGCCACAAACACACACAGAAACAACAAATACAACTCACTGAATCATATTTCAAGATCATTCATCATCAAAATTATATGAAAGAAAAAAATGAAAAGAGGCCACTCAGTTCCAAAATTCTGAGCAAGCTCAACAAAAATTATATTAGTATTTATTGTATTAAAAGGAAAAAAAAAAGTATAAAAAATGCTACAATAAAAACCTTAAGGGGATAGTTCACCTTCAGTTGCTGGTCCCCATTGACTTCCATTGTGTGTGTGTGTGTTTTTTTATACATACTATGGAGGTCAATTGGGACCAGCAACTGAAGGTGAACTATCCCTTTAAATAAAATACCTTATCATATACGGTACCAATTATACCTTTTAAAAGACATTTTCAACTTAATTTACAATTTATTATTTTTAATTAATTGTATTTATATAAAATTAAATGTATGTTGTTTTACCAATACAATATGCATATACTTTTACAGATAAATATTTTATTTAAAAAAGCAAATAAAAAGTAAATGTATTCAGTAAAAAAAAATAAAAATGTAACGCATATGACTCTATACATCAATAATGATGATTTAAATGCCTTTGCAATGTAAGCATCATAAAGTATGCAGATACACAAAATGTGTGTAGCTATTTATTGTATTTAGTACATATTTAATATGGTACTATAAAAGTGTTTTATAGGTCACATTTAAAATGCAATGATTATAGTAGGCTTGGCTATATTTAACAGGAGTCCCTACTCCATCTCTCTATCCACTAAGGGATTCTTGGCCTGAAAAAGTCTGAAGACCTCTACACTAAATAAATAATGAAATAAATACTGTACTAGCAATAATATCAATAAGTAAAATACTAAATAAACACTCACTAAAGGTCACTGAAGAAATACATGTTAAATTCTATGCAGTACATGTAACAAATAACATCTCGAGATAGTTTGCGTTAACTTAAAACACACACAAAAAAGTATTCAAACTCACCAAAGTACACTTCAACCTCCCGAATATCTTCATCTTTAAAAAATGTTTATCCAGAAGCATCAGTAATAATAACGGAGAAACAAGCGTACAGTGAAGTCATCTCACATCAAATTCAAAGGCAGGCGCTTCATTGATCTCGTGCGCACTTCCTCACTCGAGCGCGAGCGAAAGGCGAATGCCACCAGCGGGCTCGAGCATCACGCTTCTACCGCTCAATATTCACATGATTAGCATACAGCTGTCGATTTATGTGCTCTGCTCCTCGCTTTGCCCCCTGACCTCAGTCAGAGAGCCGGGCGCAAACATTATTTCACCGCCACCTACAGAAACCAGCGTGTCATTCGCGGATTTACGAGCGCGCGGTGCTCTCCTTTAAACTCAAGCGCGCTCCCCAGTCGCGAGAGACGCGTTTTAAACTGCCCCGTCCATCTGTCTGACAGTATGCAAGACCATTGCTGTTTAATCAAGCAAGCGTTATTGCCCCCTCAAACCCCCGCCAGGGAGCCTCTTTCTTCCAGCTCTCACACTCTCTAACAAGTAGATCGCATGAGATATCACACTTGTTACGGATTTCAGCCACTCTATCACTCCTGCATTATTAAAGGGGTCATATGATGCTGCACATTATTTTGTGTATTTGGTGTAATGAAATGTGTTTATGCGGTTTAAAGTAAAAAAAAACACATTATTTTCCACATACTGTACATTATTGTTTCTCCTCTATGCCCCGCCTTTTTGAAACGCGTCGATTTTTACAAAGCTCATCGGTCTGAAAAAGCGAGGTGTGCTGTGATTGGCCAGCTATCCAGTGCGTTGTGATTGGCCGAATACCTCAAGCGTGAGACGGAAATGTTACGCCCCTCACATACTGTGATGCCCTGTCTGGCTGGAGCGACGAGACAAACACATTAAAACCCATTACAAACGAGGCATTCATTGCATCCAGTGGGGACATAATTATGGAATATAATGACTTGTACTGTCTTTATACGCGTTGCATCGCGCCGCGTAAACATAAAACCCTGTCTGCATTTGTGATCAAAGAAATGACAAGCAATAATATAGATAATCTAATCGGATTAAGATAAAATGCCCTTACTGATTCCATAATGACGTCACTACACCTCAACTAACTGAATGAACCTCAATTACTAAAGAAATGCAATACAAAATATTACAAATACAATGTAAAGTTATATGAAAAATATATTTTAAATATACTAGATAAAAAAAATTATATTGGAAATTATATATATATATATATATATATATATACAATTTTGTACAAATGTAATCATTTTGTAAATAATAATAATAATAATAATAATAATAATAAAGTGAAATTCTTGGAAAAGAGAAAGAAAAAAAAGAATGTGGCACAAGTTTTCCATAATCTTTTAATATTAATTTACAATAATAATACTAAAATTAGGGAGGGCAATTTATTATTACATTACTATTTCGAAATTTCCACCAAATTAAATTCTGTTTGGAGTAACCAATATGCAAGATGTTATTTTTCGTGCGACAAGAAACCTTAAAACAGATGATTTGAACCTTGTATGTCAAGGTCAATAAATTGTTGGGAGGATTTGATATTTTAACATTTTCATGTCAAATGAAGTAACCCCAATGTTTTTTTCCCCCGCACGAATATTTGCACGTGTTTTGAAGTAGATTTTTTAAGATTTCTCCTTTTCATCCTGTGAGACATGGCTTGAGATAAAAGCATTCAAGTGAACCTGCACATTTGCGAGTACAATTCTTTGAAAACAAAATTGCTCACGTTCCCACATACCTCGTGAAACAATATGCAATCTGCTTCTCGGTCTTTCATTCATGCAGTTTTGTGCTCCACGTTAGCACTGCATGCTCATAAAGCCACCTAGTGCAGCAGAGTCTGCGACACACTGTAACTCTGTGAAAGACTGAGGAAGGAAAACCCCAAGGGTGCCACAAGCGGGTTAGTCGTGAATAAAAGACCAGTGTGAGAGGAGTGAGTTAGTGTGTGTGTGCATGTGTTACGAGTGACAGATGCAACACGAGGAGAAACAAAATTGCTCACGTTCCCACATACCTCATGAAACAATATGCAATCTGGTTCTCGGTCTTTCATTCATGCAGTTTTGTGCTCCACGTTAGCACTGCATGCTCATAAAGCCACCTAGTGCAGCAGAGTCTGCGACACACTGTAACTCTGTGAAAGACTGAGGAAGGAAAACCCCAAGGGTGCCACAAGCGGGTTAGTCGTGAATAAAAGACCAGTGTGAGAGGAGTGAGTTAGTGTGTGTGTGCATGTGTTACGAGTGACAGATGCAACACGAGGAGGCAGTAAAATGGCGAGGTGGTGGGACAGCCAGAGGGATCGTAACTCTGTCACCGGAGGAGGGAGAGAGACACTGTTTAGGCATCTCTGCAGATAAATCATTTGATATATCAACAGGATGCTTCCCGCCCTCGGCATCGCAGCTGGCCGCATTCACCGTCTGTTTTCATATCATGTCATTATCAAAAAAGAAGTTTGGAACTACATAGATTTACATTTTGTGAAGAGTTTGTCCATGCAAAACTGACTGCGACAATGCTGGGATGCTATTGGTGACATAGATATACAGTGCTGGGTAGTAACTAGGGCTGGGTTTTGACACAAATTTCACAATTCGATTCGATGCTCATTCACAAGCTTGCGATTCGATTCGATTACCGATTCGATTCAATATCGATTATTTTG